TCAGTCTCCTGCTGGACAAACGTCTGAGGTCCGACTGTAAGAACCAGGGAGCGAACATCCCCTGGCCGGCCTCCAACCGCTACGAGACGCTTCTGAAGCAACGCCACGTCCAGGTGACAAGCTTTCACACCTTCAGAGGGTTTCATTTGATGGTTTTGATTTGGTCTCAGTCTAGTATGTAATATCCTCGTCTTACCTTGGACAAAGGTTTTAGCTAACAAAAACTGTTTAAGAATTCGGATTATTGAACATTTTAACCAAAGATTTGCTTGCGTGTGCATTGTTTTCAGTTACATTTAACGCATGCTTTCATGACTTTACTTTTGCACTTTGACTGTCCATTGATCAGTCTTACACCTAGAAGGCACTTGGAGAGAGCAACGCTACACCAGGTCAAAGGGTCTCAAAGATAATGAAAGTGAAAAGTGAATCCATCCTGTAATTGGGATCCGCTCCAGTTTAAGTTGAATACAAATCAGACCACTGGTTTGTCTGAAGTCCTATTCAGCAAACCAAAGCATACACTTGTACTCGGAGGTAAAACAAAACGCTGTAATTCATTATTGTCAATAATAATAATAATAAGTGTTTTAGGTTGTGTTGTTATTCTTTTAACTACATTTATGTGATCTCGTCTGCGTTCAAGGGTATCGGTGCCATTTCCTCTTACTCGCTTCTTCACAAACATGTTTTGTAGTTTTGTTGCTTGGTTTTAACCCTGTCACTGTTTTTGTCTCCTACAGCTCCTCGGCCGCTCCATTGATCTGAACAGACTGATCACTCAGAGGATCTCCGCCGCTCTCTACAAATCTCTGGAGCTCGCCATCAACCGCTTCGAGAGCGAGGACCTCACCTCCATCATGGTGAATACTTCTTCTTCATCAGCTTATCTGTCAGGGTTACCGTAACCTGAGGAAGATGTGCTGCATTTAGGGTTAGGGTTATTATCCAAGACTAGTATGAACTAAATAACAGGGATTTCATCGTTAACTAAAGTACACCACATGCAATAGAGGGAAGGTTCATGTTACCCAAAAATATATCCAATATGAACGGACAACCGTCGTATACAGAGCCGTGGTCGACTGGAATTCATTACCAGTCCAAGGGTGCGTTTCACTTCGGTTAAATGGATTCCTTGCGTCCCTCACTTGCGTTGTTTCCCTGCGTCTAGTCCCTGCCACCAGGGAAGCATGGAGAGACGCAAGGAAACCACGAGAAGCAGGGAAATGAGTTTTAAGAGCAATGGGACGTCCTTTCCTCCGGAGCGCCACCCGTTTGTGATGACGCTGCACAGCTGATCGTCTGACAGCAGCCAGATCAGTGCATGCGCTGCATCGTCCAATCAGTGAGCGATACACAGTAAGGGGGCGGGGCGAGTGTCTGAGGATTTCACCAGAGGATGGTCTGATAGTTCCTCGATTTCGCTCGATCCTCGGTCCTCCGGCACAAATAAGGCCACTGGGACGCTACTCAAGACAAATCAACTTCCGGTGATACAGAGGAGCGAGGAAATAAAAAATAAGAGAAGTGAAACGCACCTTTTATCATTCAGGAAAATTCCCCAATGCATTTCAAAAGTTAGTTAAAAAAAAAATCATCTCTGTATCATAAAGTATAACTGTGTCTGTGGGAATGTAAATTATTGCTGTCTGGCTTAATGATGGTTACAATAGGATGATAATTGTTGTTTCAGTTCATATTGAATTGAGAATTGCATGAAATTACGAGCTGTTTTTTTAATGTATGTTTGACTGTGTGTGCGGACCAGTAAGAATAGCTAATGCTAGTGCTAATGGAGATCCTAATAAAGAATTAGAATAACATCAGATTATTAAACAGTGACATTCTCATACATGATCGAACAAAAACAATTATTGCCATCATCCTTGTGATTTTTCTGGTTGATTTATTCTGTGTGTTTCAGGAGCTGGAAGGTCTCCTGGACATCAACCGCATGACGCACAAGCTGCTCAGTAAGTTCCTGACTCTGGACAGCATGGACGCCATGTTCCGCGAGGCCAACCACAACGTGTCGGCGCCGTACGGACGCATCACGCTGCACGTCTTCTGGGAGCTCAACTACGACTTCCTGCCCAACTACTGCTACAACGGATCCACCAACAGGTGCGTTATCAGAGGCAAATCAGACTGTATCTGTGTCTTATCAACTCTGAGATCTGTTCATAAGAGATATGGTAGATAAAACTAATCAAGCCAAATACATTTCAAACATATACTCACACCAGCGTGCTGCCATCATGATTATAGTGCATTTAGTGACTTTACATCAAGCATAATAACATAATACAGGTGGACAGTGACACACATGCTTTTAAAATGCTTTCTCTAGGTAAACAATCAAAAAGACAACATCTGTGATCTCCAACAGCGTGTTAGGGCCACTGTCAGTTCAAATGAATATGGAGGAGAGGGGTAACATTCAGAGGAGAAACTCAGAAGTTAAAGCCGGAAATTCACGGAAAGAATTGAGCTAATCTCTCAGGATGAAAATGATCAAAACATTCCCCGAGATAATTAAAACAATCCTTTTAGGCATTTAATTATCGGCATTTATATTAGTTAGTTCTAACTGTAGTCCAAACATAAGGTTGTTTAATATAATATGAATCTTTTAAAAGTAAAATAGGTTAAATAGTTAATAGTTAAATAGGCGTGATAAGTATGATATTTTTAAACCAACAATATTCTCACAGTATTTTTGCTAGTACGTTTGTGACCTTAGTCATCTGTTGTCTTCTTAGAAACGTTGATATTCAAGTTTCTCGCAAAAATGTGTGAGGAATTTCTCGTAAATGTACTGTTTGAATCTCAGAGAACAGTCAAGTAGTTTTCTCAGCTCCGTTCATATTTTTGAACAACCTTTCGATGAGCCGTAATACACCGTTGATCCATTGTACCATACAGAATCCCTACCAGAGTTTAAACCTCATGGTATGTGGGTAAAACAAACGTAAACAGCCTCATTATATTCTGGAAATAAACACTCGTGTTTTTGAAATTGTTTTGCGCCAACATAAAACACATGTTTCATTTTCATATTTTAATTTGTGCATATTTAAAATCTTCTTAGCTTCTGTTTCTGCACACTACGCTCCTGCAGGTTATCTGCAACAAGACAGTGTGTGTTTGACCCTCCCGCCATGCCATATCATCTCCTCCATACAAAGTGCACTGTATCCTCGTTGTGTTGGTGAATAAAGTGTTTGATGTCTCTCTGCAGGTTCGTGCGCACCGTGCTGCCGTTCTCTCAGGAGTTTCAGAGGGACAAGCCGCCCAACGCTCAGCCTCAGTACCTGTACGGCTCCAAGGTCAGTGAGCTTTCCTCTATCAGCCCTTTGTCTTCCTGGGTCCAATGAGTGGAGGGGATTTGATCTGACCTCCACCTCTCCTGAGTCCACATGTTAAAGTCATTACATGTCGAGGTGTATATAACAAGTAGAAATGCATCATTGTGGAACGGTGGAAACAAATCAGATGTGATCAAAATGTCCTCCATGAGCTACTTATTTACAACAGAAATATTCAATGGGACAAAACCATGTAAGCGCAGTTGAGCCGGGATAATTTCCACTGTCCTGTTCCAATAAATCTGCTTTGTATAATGTTCAAAGCTGCATCAAAAGTATTATTTTTTTTGTATCCAAGTTTCTATTGAGATTTCTTTAAAGTGAGCCTTGAATGTCTGTCATGTAATAACAAATCCAATAGAAAATCCTCAAACAAAACCCGACATTTGAATCTAGAATTTCATGAAATTGAATGAGTTTTTTTCAATTAAAGGAAAATTCAATGAAACCCCTTTTTATTAAATTAATCTCATCAGTTATTATTTAAAAAACCTTACCTTGGTTGGTGATTGGCTAATGGTTACACAAGCCAAAACATCATTATGACATCATAAAGTGGCCAAAATCTGATCAGCTCATTTTCAGACAGGTTTTTATAGAAATGGATCAAAAAGAGAGAGAATCTTTGTTCCTGAAACTTTCAGAGTCTCTTTACACAGAGGGGACACATGTTGATGTAGAAGAGACATGAAGGAGAGGGGACACATGTTGATGTAGAAGAGACATGAAGAAGAGGGGACACATGTTGATGTAGAAGAGACATGAAGAAGAGGGGACACATGTTGATGTAGAAGAGACATGAAGAAGAGGGGACACATGTTGATGTAGAAGAGACATGAAGAAGAGGGGACACATGTTGATGTAGAAGAGACATGAAGAAGAGGGGACACATGTTGATGTAGAAGAGACATGAAGAAGAGGGGACACATGTCGATGTAGAAGAGCCGTACAGAGAAGATGTAGTCTGTACACAGGGGGAGAAGAAGTAACAAAGAAGATGTAGTTGTACACAAGGGGAGAATGAAGTACAAAGAAGGATGTAGTTGTAACAGGGAGA